GTAGAGAAAATTAGAATTTAGGCAAATTTGAAATCAAACTGGGCAAAAGAGAGATTACGACTAATAAAGTAACAAAACTGATGGTATAATTAGGCGGAAATCATGCTCTGAGGTCTTTCTGTTCAGTAATGAGCCATATTATTTCATGTGCTGAAAGCGACCACACATCGGCTATAGTAGTTGGTATCACCTGTGTTTTTCATTCTTGTTCAGTTGCTCTTATCTTCTGGTTTCATCATTCTAATGTTGATCCTTTATTCGCATTGCTGGCCCTGGAACTTATTATGATAAGGATTAGCGATGTAGCGGGATTTTTGGACTTTTTCCACGTTTTACCTGTGGAACTTGTGCTTTTTTTCAATTTTGAGCCAATCAAAATACGCAAACGCACCTCTGTACTATAATGTGTTGGGGCCTATGAATCTTTTCCTTTTAATTCATAGAGAACAATGTAAAACTGCGCTACTTCTCTTCAATTTGAAGTACAGGCCGTTCACTTGATTTTGAAACGATTTGCATGCAGTTTTTCTTTACAAATTGTTTCAGAAAAAAAATTCCTTGCTATACCAAACGATAGACAGTTTAATTCTCTACAAGATTATATATTCATTTTTAAGACTCATGTTGGATGTTTGGCACAGTAGGTCTAACAGGAAAAGGTCCAAATTTTATAGTTTTAAAGTGCAAACTGCACTTTAAAACTAACTTTTTTTAATTGCTTATAATGAGTAGAAAAAGATCTGAAATAATTTTATTACAGTCAAATGGTCAATAATTTTCTGCTTTACAAAAGCGTTTACTTGAAGGAAACTTGTTTCAATTGGTAGTGGTTTTAATACACAAACTCCCAAGTCCACCGAAGTTTCTAGCACTAAAAGGAAGTTTTGCCTATTTCAGTATAAAATCCAAAGTTCAAATTATTAGTTTATAGACCAAAAAATGCAGAATTTCGCGCTCTATTAGGCGGTGTAACATACAAGTAAATCTGCTACTTTTTTTACTTGAAAAACTAGGCAAAATACTGGTTGTCGCTAACGCTCGTAAGATGTCCGAAAAAGAGGAGAAAATCACATTTCTTAAAGACTCTTTTTCGCTCTGAGTTCATCTAAAAAATTATTGTTTGTCATTAAAAAGACATCATATTGCAGAAAATTTCTTGCTGAATTTTTCGGTATACCTTGTTTTGTTGAATAAATGATTTATAGTGAGGTTCTGCACAAAAAATTCGATTTCTTGAAGGTAAACTTAAGAAGTTTGGAGCTTTTCCTGTTAGACTTACTGTGCCAAACATCAAAGATGAGTCTTAAAAATGAATATATAATCTTGTAGAGAATTAAATTGTCTATCGTTTGGTATAGCAAGGAATTTTTTTCTGAAACAATTTGTAAAGAAAAACTGCATGCAAATCGTTTCAAAATCAAGTGAACGGCCTGTATATGCAAACTTAACATCATGTGTATTTTTCTTTTCTTTTCCTACCCAGACGGCTATCAGTGCAAAAAGAGTAAGACTACGAAAAATGGATGAGAGTGAGTCACATAAGATGACATTAAAAGAAAGAAGAAGAAATAGATAAATAATAAATGTTAGTTTCCCGTAGCTAAAATCGTTATGAAGTTTCATTTGAATTTAACGGTACATTTAAGGAATTTAAAGATTCTATTTGACTTTGCTGAGATGAATTTGTTTGATATTCGACTAATACTTGATTTGCTTGATGTTTATCACGCATATATACTAATTTGCTCGCATCATTTTTGATAATAACGCGACCTCCACGAGTAAATACATCTTTCTTGCGTTCAGGAGGTTTTTCTCACTTTTGCCTTCTTTTGATCCATATATTAGTGCTTCACAGCTTTCAATAAACAACATTGTTAGGTCCGGTATACGTTGTTGTGTATGAGTAGTTTATTAAGTTACTGAAGATGATCTTTTGCACAAAATTAGCGGTACAACAATAGTATTTTTCAATGAATACTCTGGTGCACTGTTGTTAATACCATCGAATCTAAGATTGTATGATCTCGAGTAACGTCCGGAATAATTTATTTTTTTTCAATTGGTAGTAAAAGTTTATCTATGTATTGTTGTATTGGTTCTACAAGATGTGTAGCCAAATGTTCCAAGCATAAGTTGATATCATTGTTATTTTTATCTAATAAGTAGATCATTTTGTAATTGAACATCACCACGTACACTTGTAATTATTAATTGTTTTAAATCAATATGTGGATGTTCTAATGTCATGAGTGATGATGGTTTAGATGATTCTTTCCCTTTTTATTATTATTTACATTCGTTATTATCATCTGCTATTTATGTTCATTATTCTCAATTATTGTTAACATTATTATCTAACGTTATTTACTTCCATTTCAAAATTATTTTAATCAAACAAGTACGGTAACCTATAAAGTATCCAGTTATAGGCATAACCATTTTGCGCACGTGTTTGTTTTTAAATTTTTAACAAACTTTCTAACGAATAAAATTCTTGTGGTCTTTTGGATTATAATACAGATGTGGGAGCTCGCACTCATCTGGAGAGGGCCTGAGTTTCTCATACTGGGTCTGGGTGATACGTTTCTGTCGAAAGAACAATCTCAGGAGCTCATCTAATTCAGAAATGGTACGTCGGAGAGGGTTATCAGGGATTTCTTCATACGCACTAGTTTTCTCCATATAGGCATCTGATTTGGTTTGGTATGCAGCAGGAGTATCTAAGTGGAATATTTTTGACTTGTCAGTTTTCCGAAATACAACTCGATTCTCAGACTGTTCTTTCTGGAGGGTCCTAACAACTTCAGAAAGATGTGGATCAGCACGCTGCTTGGAGATTTGCTCTTTCAACTCAAATGCTACTCGATCGGCAAAAGCATCAACTACTGTACTGTACTTGACTTAATTGCTTTTTATATTTAATCGGTATTATTTGATGTTACAAAATTGTTGTAATCAACATCTTTTATTTGTGAAAATATAAAATTTGTTCTTTTCGTATTTTATTCTTTGCAGCAAAATAGAACAATTTCTCCTATAGGAAAGTATTAATAGTACAAGAGCAGAATAAATTGCAAAAGAAAAGTATGTGTTTCTGATCGATTGAAAACAGAATACCTTCTTGAAACAGAGCGGTTAGTTATCTTTCAAGAACTGAGATGAGGGTAATGGGACACCTCTCCAAAATATATCAATGTTCCAAATAATAACCCTCTTAACGTTTCATTTATTAAAACTGGGCGTAAAAGCAATTACTTATAACAGACTCATATATCTCGCAAAAATTATGTCTGCTTTTTGGCATGAAAACATAACTCGGTTATACTTATCTTATAGCTCGCTCATTTTCTTCGAAATTAACAAATTACACCTAGTATGCATCCATCGTGTAGAGAAAATTAGAATTTAGGCAAATTTGAAATCAAACTGGGCAAAAGAGAGATTACGACTAATAAAGTAACAAAACTGATGGTATAATTAGGCGGAAATCATGCTCTGAGGTCTTTCTGTTCAGTAATGAGCCATATTATTTCATGTGCTGAAAGCGACCACACATCGGCTATAGTAGTTGGTATCACCTGTGTTTTTCATTCTTGTTCAGTTGCTCTTATCTTCTGGTTTCATCATTCTAATGTTGATCCTTTATTCGCATTGCTGGCCCTGGAACTTATTATGATAAGGATTAGCGATGTAGCGGGATTTTTGGACTTTTTCCACGTTTTACCTGTGGAACTTGTGCTTTTTTTCAATTTTGAGCCAATCAAAATACGCAAACGCACCTCTGTACTATAATGTGTTGGGGCCTATGAATCTTTTCCTTTTAATTCATAGAGAACAATGTAAAACTGCGCTACTTCTCTTCAATTTGAAGTACAGGCCGTTCACTTGATTTTGAAACGATTTGCATGCAGTTTTTCTTTACAAATTGTTTCAGAAAAAAAATTCCTTGCTATACCAAACGATAGACAGTTTAATTCTCTACAAGATTATATATTCATTTTTAAGACTCATGTTGGATGTTTGGCACAGTAGGTCTAACAGGAAAAGGTCCAAATTTTATAGTTTTAAAGTGCAAACTGCACTTTAAAACTAACTTTTTTTAATTGCTTATAATGAGTAGAAAAAGATCTGAAATAATTTTATTACAGTCAAATGGTCAATAATTTTCTGCTTTACAAAAGCGTTTACTTGAAGGAAACTTGTTTCAATTGGTAGTGGTTTTAATACACAAACTCCCAAGTCCACCGAAGTTTCTAGCACTAAAAGGAAGTTTTGCCTATTTCAGTATAAAATCCAAAGTTCAAATTATTAGTTTATAGACCAAAAAATGCAGAATTTCGCGCTCTATTAGGCGGTGTAACATACAAGTAAATCTGCTACTTTTTTTACTTGAAAAACTAGGCAAAATACTGGTTGTCGCTAACGCTCGTAAGATGTCCGAAAAAGAGGAGAAAATCACATTTCTTAAAGACTCTTTTTCGCTCTGAGTTCATCTAAAAAATTATTGTTTGTCATTAAAAAGACATCATATTGCAGAAAATTTCTTGCTGAATTTTTCGGTATACCTTGTTTTGTTGAATAAATGATTTATAGTGAGGTTCTGCACAAAAAATTCGATTTCTTGAAGGTAAACTTAAGAAGTTTGGAGCTTTTCCTGTTAGACTTACTGTGCCAAACATCAAAGATGAGTCTTAAAAATGAATATATAATCTTGTAGAGAATTAAATTGTCTATCGTTTGGTATAGCAAGGAATTTTTTTCTGAAACAATTTGTAAAGAAAAACTGCATGCAAATCGTTTCAAAATCAAGTGAACGGCCTGTATATGCAAACTTAACATCATGTGTATTTTTCTTTTCTTTTCCTACCCAGACGGCTATCAGTGCAAAAAGAGTAAGACTACGAAAAATGGATGAGAGTGAGTCACATAAGATGACATTAAAAGAAAGAAGAAGAAATAGATAAATAATAAATGTTAGTTTCCCGTAGCTAAAATCGTTATGAAGTTTCATTTGAATTTAACGGTACATTTAAGGAATTTAAAGATTCTATTTGACTTTGCTGAGATGAATTTGTTTGATATTCGACTAATACTTGATTTGCTTGATGTTTATCACGCATATATACTAATTTGCCCGCATCATTTTTGATAATAACACGACCTCCACGAGTAAATACATCTTTCTTGCGTTCAGGAGGTAGATTTCGTCTTAATAGATATAGTATATCTGAATCACGTTTTGTTACATCTTCGTAGACAGATACATTTGTTGACTCATATATAAATTTACGATTGACTAATAATGCACGAACAACTTCCAGTGAATAGAATTTTGCAGTAATTGTACCATATTTTTTTAATTTTTCCACGCGATGTGCTACTTCAATTAAATTTGTACCAACACTTTGAATACCAGATTTTCGAGTTGCCTGAACAATAGTATTTTTCAATGAATACTCTGGTACGCTATTGTTAATACCATCGAATCTAAGATTGTATGATCTCGAGTAACGTCCGGAATCATTTATTTTTTTTTCAGTTGGTAGTAGAGCACTAGCAAATAAGGAGATATCTTCTCTCGCACATGCAGTATATTCGTAAACGAATGTGTCAAATTTTTGTTTCGTTCTGTTCTTGTTCTTTTCTATCGACGCGTTCAGAGGAAATAATTCTATTCTTTGCTCTATCTTTAAATTTACACATGCTTTTATAGCCTATTTATTCACGAATAACAATGAACACAACAGTTTTAAACGTAATTTGAAAACTTAAGTAAAGA